TACAGGAAGTTCGTGAGGAACTTCTCCACCATCGCTGTGCCCCTTCGCAAATTGCTAAGAAAAGAGACAATCTGGAAATGGGACAAGGACTGCACGTCTGCCATGAAGAAGCTAAAGCAGGCATTGATAGAGTACCCGGTCCTTAAGGTCGCCGATCCATCCTTGCCTTTTGTTGTTACTACGGATGCTAGCCAGTACGGCATAGGCGCAGTGTTACAGCAAGGCGATGGCAATGGGTATAGACCCGTAGAGTTCATGTCCGCCAGAATGCTTTCAGAGAAGGTCGCGACATCTACCTATGAGAGGGAACTCTACGCTCTCAGGCAAGCGTTAGACCACTGGAAGCACTACTTGCTTGGGAGGCACTTCAAAGTCTATTCTGACCATGAAACGTTACGATGGTTAAAAACGCAGGCCAAGATGACACCTAAGCTTACTAGGTGGGCCGCCGAGATAGATYAGTACGACTTCGAGCTCAAGCCTGTCAAGGGGAAGTACAACGTAGTTGCGGATGCTCTGAGTAGGAGAGCAGATTATTTCGGGACGATAGTGCATTACCTCGATATAGGGAAAGACCTGCAGCAAGAGGTTAGAGAGGCTTACGCACAGGACCCTATCTATAGTGACCTCCTTAAGAAAGTCAAAGAGGCCCCAGAGACTGAGCCAAATTATCGCACTAGTGAAGGATTGTTATTCGAGAAGACTAATGTCTTTGACCGGTTGTGCATCCCCAATGGCGAAAAGATCCGTAGTTTGATCTTGGGAGAATGCCACGACACAGAAGGTCATTTTGGTTGGCAAAAGACCTTAGCCAATCTGATGCGCGCGTATACCTGGCCAGGGATGAAGAATGACTGCGTAGAGTATGTTCGCAGTTGTAAGATCTGCCAGCGTAACAAGTCTTCTACGYGTGTCCCGTTAGGTCTTCTCAGACCCTTGCYCATTCCGGATCAGCCGGGAGACTCAGTGTCAATAGATTTCATGGACACTCAAGTCAAGAGCAGGCATGGCAAGAGTCAAGTCATGGTTATAGTTGACCGCTTTAGCAAGTACGCAGTTTTTGTTCCTTTGMCTTCTRAGGCGCGTACTGATTTAGTCATACAGAGGTTCTTTGACTGTTGGGTTAGTGAGAATGGGATCCCACTGTCTATAGTTAGCGATAGAGATAGTCGTTTTACTAGCCAGAACTGGCAAGAACTCATGGGAGTGTATGGATCTAAGTTATTGATGTCGTCCGGCCGCCATCCAGAGACTAACGGTCAGACAGAGCAAATGAACAAGATCCTACAGCAAGTTCT